CTTTTACTGGCTTGTTTTTTTCTGGGAACGATGGCTTTTTTTGTCCTGTGTTGGATTCTGTCTGGGGAGCACCTTCTGTCCAGAGTTGGTATGTTTTCTTCTCTTCAAGCCTGCATGGATTTTCATCCCATCTCCTAAAGGCATGCTGGCTAGGTGAAATTGCCCCCTTTCTCTCTGTGTGATGGACTGGCGTCTTGAGCAGTTAGGCACCTTCAACACCCACTTTGCCACTCCATGTTTCCAGGGCGGGGTCTAGGTTGTTGAAAGTTGAGGTCTTCACCAGGACGAGTAGCTTTCCGAAAGTGGATAGATGAACAAACTTAGTTCAGATTTGAACAAAGTGGAAGATACAGCAGGAGCCAGCAACCTTACAAGTTCTTATTTGATCTGGCTGTTGGGCATGTGTTGGATTTTACCAGCATTCGTTTCAGACCTAGTTATAATTATTCTTTCACAAAATTGAGTTAACGCCCCTGGACAGCTGATGGATCTGTAAGAGATGTTCTCATGCAATCGATATTAAACTGTAGCTTGGATCGTTTAAAAACGCATTCAGACTTCTAGTTTATTTAGGATTTAAATGTTTTGAATATAGGCTGAAATATAAGGATAGATTGAACTGCGATAGTTTTTTTTTTTAGAAAGTAACCACGTCTTTATCGTTCTTTTTTTTTCCTTGCTAAATTTTAAGACCAGAGCGAGGAAAGCGCCTCACAATATTGCCCGAACAAAGCTTCAAGAATTATAGGCTGGGCAACATGTAATCCTCGTGTGACGTCAGGGAGGTCAGATGGTTGGTTTGAGCTGTGGTGGTCATTTAGCTTGAGTCTGACTTTCTGTGGAGGATTTACTCTTGTCCTGTTACGTTGTACGTATTTCGAACGCGATACGTTTCAGGAACTGAATCAACACGCTTTTAACTTTTAAACGCGCAGACCTGCTAAGGCACAGAAGTTTGTTCTCCACTGTTAACGTTGCACCTCCGGATTTGCTAGATGGTAGTCGGATATCACGGTTTTGATGTGGTTGTCGATATTTTAAAAGCACGTTTATACTAACATGAACTATGCACAGCATTATTGATTACTGATAGTAACGCTTTTATCACAATTTATCAAAAATATAATTCAGGCGGTCTAGTACAGTAATATGCCTGGTTTCAGAGAGGCTGGTCTGTTGGGTGCTGCATTTGCAGCTACTGGGGGAGTTGCTTACGTCTTCTGGAGGTACTTGTCTTCGAGGGAACATGAAGAAAAAGTGAAGGCTGGAACTGTGGGTGAGCAACCGCTATTCACAGAGGTAACACGTAGGTTTTTTTTTTTGTTAATTTAATACACTCCACCCCCTTAAAATCCCCTTGGGTCTGCCTGAAGACATTAACCTGTTATTTTTAGAAGATGTTAGGGGAGACCGAGCCGTGGATAGTTACTTTTTAAATCGTGAAATAACGCTTATGTAGTTAAAATGTAATTGTGATAGTGCTTAGGTTATTAAAGACATCCTAATTTATTGTGGCTAAATTTGATTTAGCTATCGTCTGCATTTATTCAGCGTCGATTAATATTAAATGTGTATGTGGTATGTCAATTGAAATTACTGCGGACGTTTGCTTCTGTTTAACTTATTTTCCGACGCATTGTGTATCCGTGTATGTAGCATTGAAAGACGTACTGTTAACCAGCGGGTCCCCTTTTGATTTCAACTTCCGCTAAAATCTACCCTTATCGGTCAACTCATAATGTAATACCGTGTTTTTTTTTTTTTCGGGCCAATATAGTGTTTTTCAATCATTATTAAAGTAATTATAAATCAATAGATAGTGCAAACAGAGTTGTCGCCGACAGAATGTTTCATGATGTGTTTCAGTGTAACAACGCATTGTGGGTGTTGTAGTTCTACCTCGCCAAACCGTTGTAGCTACTGAAATGTTGGTGTTTTTTGTGTAAACCTTAAAGTTTTCTAGAGGCATTATATACAGTGTATATATATATAAGTTAGGCATATAGTTTGCATCATCTCTTCCCAGAAAAGGGCCCATTTGTCTTGCTTATCATGAGAACAATGCCTTTGTACCATTGATATGTTGTGGGGTGGACTAACTCAGCACACTGTTTTGTTTTCTGAGGATATTTGTAACCTGTTAAGAATCTAGCGAAATACAGTCCATCACCCTCTGGCCAAGAATAAGGACACCACACTAAGACTGATACACAAACATGTTCTCTCTTCATAATCTTTTCCTTCGTCATACAATTCCACTGGATCTGAAATGCTAGGTTGCAAAAATCTTGTACATCACTCAGGTGTTGTATAAAAATCATTCTACCAGGGGGGCCCAGGGTTTGCCAATGTTCATTGAAGCAACAGAATGAGATCAAGAACTCAGGTGCACTTGCCAGCAGGAGAGCCATATTATCCAATTATCTATCAAGTTGCTACATCACTTGTATTGACTGATGTCAACCTCATTGGAGTGACATCGATCAAGTCCTGGGACTTCAGGTTCTGAGGGCACACATTCCTGTTAAACAACCTCCATCCTAATGCTGCTTGTGTAACAGTGGCTTTCTTGAGAGGTGTGAATGCCACAGTTATGCATGAATGTGCCTTATGACTTGAGCCCCATGGAACCTGTGGGATGAGCTGGGACAGATGTGTGAAATCTGGGGCTCAGATATCAGCAAACACATTTATTTATCCCAGAAGACAGCATCTGGTCCCAATCTTGTATATGTAATTTGTACTCCCTTCAAGGGCAGGTATACAGTATATGGTAGTAGCCTGTGGTTTTCACAGTAGTTCCCCTGTGATGATGTTGATTAGTATTAATCTGTTTTTCTTTCTCTTCAATAAAATGAGTGCACTTGCTTAAAACAATTACTACACTTCTGATGATACCTTTATGAGTTTGCTGCAGTTTAAAGTTTATTGTTACTACTGTTAGAATAGTAACAGTATATGTATATATTTCTAGAAATGTAAACAATAGTTTTTTACATATCATTCAGTATTTTCTAAGTTTCATCTGACATTTAATTGAACTGCATAATAATGTCCTTATCCTTGAGAAATGCAACATTTACACTACAGGACAATAATTAAATTTATATTAGCATCAGAACAAACTGTCAGAATTTCTTTGCTTACAATACCATTGTAAGTTGTCACAATAGAAGAAGTATGGAGATTCTGATATTATGGATATAAAAATTCTAGTATAGTATAGAGTCCATACTGTAAAAAAGGTGCTGTCCTTTGGATGAGATAAAACCGAGGTCCTGACTCTCAGTAGTCATTAAAAATCCCAGAGCATTTTTCAAAAAGAATAGATGTTACGCTGGTGTCCTGGCCAAATTTCCCACTGGCCTTTACCAATCATGGCCTCCTAATAATCCCCATCTATGAATTGGCTTCATTACTCTGTTCTCCTCCCCACTGATAGCTGATGAGCTGTGAGCATATTGGCACACTTTGGCTGCCGTCACGTTATCAAGGTGGGTGTTACACATTGGTTAGTTTTGATGGGGGGGGTCCCCATTACCAGTAAAGTGTTTTGAAGGGAGTGTCTAGAAAAGCACTATATAAGTGTAAGGTGGTTCTTTCGTATTATGAGGTGAATTTGCCTGGCAGGGTTCTGGTATACTCATTCCCTTAAAACCAATGATTAATGTTTATTTAGTATGGCTTGATGAGAAGACTCTGATGTTATTCATATGTCATAGCCTTCTCCTTCACTAGATCTGAACTCTGAACTGAGAAATTATGGGATATTATGGCACAATGCCTATGGCAGTTTTTCCCACTTTGTCAAGGTGTGATTTGATTGACTTCCTCTTAGAGGCTGCATCCCTCCTTCAGAATTCTAGACACTGGTACACTCTGTGCCACGATGCATAAAGGCTGAACCAGTTGCGCATTGTTGCCATTAAGTGATTTTATGTTGGTGTTTCAAGTCATTCATATATTATTTTTGTTTGTAGCCTTGACCATACTGTATCAATTTCTTGAAATAAAAATTAAACCTTTATGTCTTCTCTATCCAAGCTCTGAGACTTGAACTTTATCAGGAATTTGGTAACATTTAGTTACATTTCATGCTTTCCTTTATGCCTTCTGATTCATATCAATAGACCCATCTTTTGTCATGTCACTGTGCATGCAAGAAATGTATTGCTCTATATTTAAAATTGATTGACAAAGTGGTGCCTCTCTGTCTGTGTGTTTTATGGTGCTTGTTGAGCTTTTGTGAGACTCTTTGGCATTATTCTTCCATTGTACAGTTCTCCAGAAATGCAACTACATTTGAACTTTAGCTGACACTGCCTATGTGGGATAAATCCCTTCATGCTTTAAAATATGTAGGTGACAGTCTCAATTCATATAAAAGAAATTGAACATTAAGCTTTAGAAATAATCAGTAAAGAAGCATTAATTATTAAAACTACCTTGTATATAGGATTTACTACTTGCATTTATGACTTGGACACCAATTCTAAATGGCTGTTTGTCTTTTTGGAAAATTTTATCTGCTCTTGTGAGGCTAGGACAGCCTATTCTCTGTTTTATATTCTTTATTTTTATTGGCACTTGAAATTAATTTAAGTGGTGCCCACTGTCTACCATGTTGGCTTTGTGGGAGAAAGATAAAGGAATGACCAGTCATCAGCAGAATCCAAATTTAGTGGTTAGGGATACTTTAAAAGCCAGCGGAAGCTGCAGTCAGGCATGACTAGTTGTGTGTGCATACAGACACTTTGATAATACCTTAAATATGTGAGCTACATTCTTAATGACTTCTGTTAATGCATGTAGTAGTTAAAATAATTCAAATTCCTGCTGCGGTCCTAGCTACTACACAAAGGAGCAGCTTAAGTTATCTGAAAATTTCTAATGTGTACCGAGATGTGGATTTGTTGATATCAGTAATTAGTTCATTTTTGTGTGTGCTGTACTTGTTTGACTATTTTTCTTTAAATGTATACATAGGTCTACCTATTGGTATACTGAGCAGATACTCTTGAAGAAATTTACATTAAAAGACATAAAAATGTATCATACCAGAAGGTTATTTGGTGCATATTCATTGACCATAGAGTTTAATTTGTTTGAATTTAATGTGTTTTGTAGGTTAGATCTGCAAGCAAACAGGTGCTAGTACTGGGTTTGGACGGGGCTGGGAAGACCAGTGTTCTCCACTGCCTGGCCACTGGAACTGTGAAGAATAGTGCATCTCCCACAGAAGGCTTCAATGCTGTTTGTATCAATAAAGAAGACACCCAGATTGAATTTATAGAAAGTAAGATAACCAACGGGGCTTAGGATTTTTGTATTTTATACAAATAACAGTAACACAAGTTAACATAACATGAAATGTTGTTTGTGTGAATGTGAGCAGCATGAATATACACCCATTCTACAACATTACAACTACAAAGAAATTTCATGACTTAAAAGGACCTAAGCCTCAAACTTAGGCTGATTAGTTGTAATTAGCTGATTTACCTTTGTCCCAGTTTTGTCTTATGTTGTTTTTTTATAATTTCATACAAACCTTTCTTTTCTTTTGTGAATAACGTCCCTCTTTCCAGTGCACAACAAGATAGGTGCATGTTTTTTTTAAGAATTCTGTTTCCAGAATTACTCTCATTAATGTTTACACATCTTTTTCTAAAACAATCAACAATCCCATTTTGTTAAAAAACATACATTTCTAAGTCTATATTATCTTGTAAATCTGTGTTTTTGTAAGGATAAAATGTTAACTAAGTTTTATGTAATGTCTCTTAAATTTCTCTTCCCGAAGTTGGAGGCAGTGAGTCACTGAGGACGTACTGGAACATGTACCTCAGTAAGGCCCAAGTGCTAGTCTATGTAGTAGATGCTGCTGACCCTGATCGTTTCCCTTTGGCGAAAAAGCACCTCCATGAGCTGATCAGAGAGGACTCCTACCTCCCTTTGGTGGTGTTGGGCAATAAACAGGTGGGTGACAGTCTAGAATGAGTGAAACTTGCCATCTTGAGGAGTGGCCATTAACAGATAAATTGAAAAAGGTTTTAAAATTATTTCCAGTCTGACCTGGGTAGCCCCTCAACATGCTAGATTAAATCCACATTGCTAGTTTCCCTGCATAAGAGAAGATAAACAAATAGAATTAAAAAAGTAGATACACGTACAATAGAATTTTAACTGTATGAAGAGTGTTATTCTGTCAATTGGAGAAAATGTAATTATACTTACCCAACCGGTGCAGCTTGGTGAAGAAAACATTGAAGGAAAATGGCTTGGAAGTTGCAGAGTTGAGTCTGTTATATAATGTCATGTAATTCTTGTTTTGTGCTTTGTAGGATCTACAGGGGGCCTGCAGCATTATGGAGCTGCACGACGCTTTATCATTGGATGAAGTGGGGGATGAACGAAAACTGTATATCATCGGCACACATGTGAGAAAGAGTGACTCTGAGGTCCCATCCAGTGTCCAGGATGCACGAGAGCTAATAACTCAACTAGTGACAGAAAGAAAATAAGACATTTTTTAATACTGTGCCATGAGGAAAGAATGTTTGATATTTTTATGAGGAATATTTATCAAAACTTGTTAAGAGCTGGTTAACAGTCTGCTGTATTTGAGCTTTAAAAGTTACAGTATGAAAAGAAGTTGCAAAATATACACTTTTGTGCTAGGGATCTACATCTGCTTTTATATTGTCTTTACAAAAATTATGTTAGGTTACTTCACCATTTTTAGAAGTTATGTTTTATTTTTTTCTGCTTAAGGACGGGTTGTTTTTAAATTGACTTATTCTTATGAAAAGTTTCATTTCAATAACACGAAAGTTGTTGAAAAACTGTATGAATATAATTCTAAGAACATCTGGGGAAAATAAAGTTTTTGAAAAGATTTTGATGCTTCAGTTCATGTAAGTGCTTAAAAAATTACATTACAATCTAACTGGTTCGTATAACACTCAGGTGAAAATAATCAAATATTTAATTAATGCAGGTAAAGATCTGTAATAATTTTTAAATTCACATTTTTATTTGTTTCACCACAGTTTATTTCCAACTGTAATTCGTTATTTAAATCCTGTCACCTGAAGAGATAAAACAATTAATATCACTACCTATACGAGGGACATACAGGACGCATAAAATATTCTGCTTAACTAGTCTTTGTTGTTGACGTTGCAATGGTACTCGAGAGGGGCACATCATATCATCAGTGTGGGCGACTTTAACTCAGCATACATAGATTTTGAGATTGCACACAGATGTCTCTGAGGCTGAATCATGGTAATCACAAAGGCATTTTATAAAGAAATATCACATAGATTATGTACAGTATAAACCACATTAATTAGATTATATGTATAGTCCTGTTACAGAATTGCAGAATTACTGACAAAGTGCAGCATCGATTTATTCATTAAATTTTTTACAGATGTGGACATCTATGACCAGTCATCCAAAAGTACTTGACAGCTCTGCATGAGATGTGTGAAACATTTTTAGTAGCTTTTAACAGCCTGAATTCACTGCCTTAGGGGGTTGTCTATCAGCTACTGACTGCAAACCCCTAAGGTGTCTAAACTGATACATTTAGTCAGGTTTACTGTTGTAAATCCTTTTGTGTGATTGGATGATCTGGAGATTTACATGGCTTTCCTGACAATAACCATGATGATGGATACCACTATTGAATGTCTTTTTTGTTATCCTGTTGTCATGTGCCTGTGCTGTTGCCCTGACAAGATGGTAGGTAGCTGCTCTCTTTGTGGAAGTCAATTGAATGTATCATATGTCACTATCTTACCGAACTATAAAAGATCAATTAATCAAAGTAATTCCAAGACCATTTAAGCCATAACTTTATAATCCTGTCCCACCTAATACCCATATACTTTGTCTAATTGTTACAACGTTAGACACGCAGATCATGATTTGTCCCTGGGTCAGCACTGCCGGAGGAAATGTTCCCAGTGAGTCAGAGCCCGAGAAGAAGGGAATCCTCAGGGTACTCATGCTAATGGAGTGATGCTCACCAGGCATCTGAATTGGAAGAGGATGACTGGCTCTCTAGAAAGAAACGGAGAAGTGGAAAGCAGGCAAGTGTTCCAGGGTGAAATGCAGACTGGCGCTGGAGCTGCAGTACAGGGCAAAGTGCAGACTGGCACTGGAGCTGGAGCAGCACTACAGGGCAAAGTGCAGACTGGCACTGAAGCTGGAGCTGCAGTACGGGGCAAAGTGCAGACTGGTGCTGGAGCTGCAGCACAGGGCAAAGTGCAGACTGGCGCTGGAGCTCCAGTACAGGGCAAAGTGCAGACTGGAGCTGGACCTGCAGCACAGGGGAAAGTGCAGACTGGTGCTGGAGCTGGAGCTGCAGCACAGGGCAAAGTGCAGACTGGCGCTGGAGCAGCAGTACAGGGTAAAGAGCAGACTGGAGCTGGAGCTGCAGCACAGGGCAAAGTGCAGACTGGCACTGGAGCTGGAGCTGCAGCACAGGGCAAAGTGCAGACTGGCACTGGAGCTGGAGCTGCAGCACAGGGCAAAGTGCAGACTGGCACTGGAGCTGGAGCTGCAGCACAGGGCAAAGTGCAGACTGGCGCTGGAGCAGCAGCACAGGGCAAAGTGCAGACTGGCGCTGGAGCAGCAGTACAGGGCAAAGTGCAGACTGGCGCTGGAGCAGCAGTACAGGGCAAAGTGCAGACTGGAGCTGGAGCAGCACTACAGGGCAAAGTGCAGACTGGCGCTGGAGCAGCAGTACAGGGAAAAGTGCAGAGTGGCGCTGGAGCTACGGCACAGGCAGAGTATTGGAATGGACTTTAAAAATGCATGCTGTTTCAGCAGAGAAGGGCGAGGGTAGTTTATAAAGAGCTCTGAAGAAAAGAAACCTGGACAGTCAGCCCATTGACGGGGATTAGGAAGCCTTGGCTGTATGGGTGTTGCTCACTCAGTCATGGTGACTGGATTCCTGCTGCAAAGTTTGCAGAAAAAAAGTCTAGCATTCCAGGGCAACAGGACTACTCAGGGAAACTGCTGAAGCTTCAGTGTACCACACTGGAGCATCAAGAAGAGTGCAACTAGGATGAAGAATGGGGAGAAAATGAATAACGATGAACTGCCACCAAAGCAGTGCCTTTGGATTAAATAGAGAAAACAGCAATTGCTTATTAGGATGGCTCATCAGAAGGGGGTCTGGTCAGAGGGTCAAGCCCTGGAAAACCGTAAGTCCTTGTGAGAATCCGTCGGTTTCCCAGAGCATCCTGGGGCCGAGGGATGCTACAGGACAGCAGTCACGACACTAATACGTCTACTTTGAGTCTCAGTATATATATAGAGAATTGCCAGTTATTTGAGCCTGTATAATATACACAGAGAACTTGAAATTAATAATTGTGTTTGTTATGTTTATTGCTCACATCAATGATGCTTGGAATTTTAGTCCTCCTGGTACTGATGTACTCTACAGCAAACAGAATATTATTTACTTTTTTAGCAATTGAGGGTCACTAATTTCTCCTGAACAAAACCTTCAAAATTCTTTGAAGTCCCGTGAACTTAATATTGTAAAGTGCTATATATATTCATGTGTCCACTGGCAATAAGAACAATTAGCCACAATAACTAAATGCTCCTATGCTCAAAATTCAAATCAAAGAAACTTTAAATATGCATTTAGCAAGTGATTCAAGCCAAGCAATAGATTCACTTTGCTGACTGGCTTAACAATATCCTTATTACAATCGGGTTCACTGTCCAATTTGTTTACAGTTTAAACACATTTCTCCTCCATGTATTGCCAGTAGTACTAAGTGTGTAAACTACAAAAAAAAAAACAACAACATTTTCTTTCTATAGTTAAAACTGGGTTTTCATGACCATGCAGGCATAATGATAAACAAAGTGGTTTTATTAGTCTACCAGGAAATTCTCCCACAAAAAGAAGACTTACAGCTGAGAATACAGCTATAGTTGGAATAAGTGGGAAACAAACAGAAGAAAAAGTGACATCAGAAAGAGTTGGCATGGGACTAAGAAATGTGAGACAACACACTATTATAACAGGTAAGGAAGAAAAAATAGTTGTAGGCCTAGGCAGATAAACAAGTTAAAAGTCAAAGGGTGTGCTATAAGTATCAGAAGAGCACAGGAGACAACGTTTCATCCGTCAAATTGTGAAGCATTTAGAATAAAAAAGAGTGTATTTAACTAACAGGTTTCATAGTGCAAAGGTTGAAAACACATGCAAATGGAAATGATTTCTTATTTCTTCACGTAAATATCTCATATTTATATTTACATCTTTCCCCCCTAAATTAAACACTTTACAGTGTTGCTTTATTAAGTTATTGGACATTTACTGTGACGCTTTTACATTGCACATAATGTGAAACCCATTCAACGTGTGTTAAATTATTCTGCTTTAATATTGTACTAGTTCGCCTCAATACAGCACAGCATTCCTCTTCCCCCTAGTGGACAACCTCATCTACTGCGTTCATGATGCAGTTGAACCTTAAAACGCATGAAACTAAGAACATTTACTGAATTTTATTACAATTACTCTTGTTCTAGTTAAGGTTTTATTAGATGAACTCGGTCATTTCTCGAAATAAGTTTGTTTTAAAATTGTATATATAACAATATATAACTATATATATATGTTTTAGTTGCAGAATCATTTACGGCAGGTCCCGCGGAAGGTGGACATTCATACGTGTGCCTTAACAAATAAAGTTTTTTTATTTCACGTTAATTCATAATATTGTAAAATATATATTTAACATATTTATATAAAACAAAAACTGTAATTTCACAGCGAAATGCCGAAGGCTCAATTGAAGAATTATTTTGTAGTCAGGCACATTAATAGCCGACTATACCTGTGACGTTTAGGGCCGCTGCTCGCCTGTGTCATTGGTAAATGACCGAAGATGTCTCATAGCAGGCTGTTTGCACGATTGCTCTGTAAGTATTACAACTTTTTCAGACTTTTTTAATTTTATTGTGGTATCACATTATGCTTCTGTGTTGTAAAGTAATTAATGTACGAAAGGTGTTAATTTTGTACATGCAACTGTAGCATACCGTTAAAGCCTTGTGTGTACCCCTGTCCTTAATTACTGATTTAGGCCACATTGAACTTTGACCTAGTCCGTGTCTTGTCAATTTGTTTCCTTTCTGGACAAAATGTATTTTTAATGTTCTCTGCAAAGTCTGCCGTCGTATTGTTAGAAATAAATGAGGGATTCTAGTGGCAAATTGCTTTTTTATGCAGTTATGGGCGCACAGTATCATTTATTCAGTGTATGGCTGAGGTTAGAAAATATCATCACCAAAAAGGATCCTTCCCCTCATGCATTTGATAGATAGATACTTTATTGATCCCGTGAGGGAAATTGCAGTGCAACAGCAGCTTAACACACACAACACAGCCATAGTGTAACGAATTATATAATAATAGTACAATACATACAATACAATACAAGAGTTACTCACAGTCCGGACACACAAAGAACAGTCTAGAACAGAACAGTACACAGAAAAATCGTATCACACATATGAATATACATATAGATATGGATGTAAATATAGATATAAATGTATTGCACATGTCCCTGGTGCAGTGTATTTCTGCATGTTTCAATATCTCAAGTTTTAGTTATGTTGAATGTGTTTTGCAAATCTGACAAAGGTATTCTAAATCAGAAAAAATGCCAGTACCTGCAGTTTATGGTTTGCAATCGATTATATAGGTCTTCATTGTTATCGCAGAAAAGCAATCGGGTACAGCAGTGGAACTGTTACTCAATACTTGCAGTAGTTTGCTGATTCAACAGTTGACTTGTGTTTCTGGACTTTGGACTTAATTTAAGTTGTTTCGAAACAGAGAAAACGAACAGTGAAAATTGTACGAGTGTACTACATACTTTGTACATGCATATAATAGTAACGTTAAAATTGATTTCAACGTTTTTAAATACTAACACATGCGAGCAGAAAACGCCTTTCTTGAAACGTTCAGTGTTCTTAAAAAAACTGATAGCATTCTAATATGACTGATAGCATTTTACTGATAGCATTCTGAATAATGGACTATGTTACATTACTAATCAGTTCATTCCTGTGATTGTTGGTTTGATATACAGTAATCTAGGAATTTTGATATTTCGGATTCATTCACATATTTTTTGTCTCTTAATGGATTTGAGTGCTATTGTTATACCATCAAAAAAAGTTTTCAAGTTGTATGGTATACCCCTCGGTGCTAACTTAGATATACAGTATTTTATTTTTAATTTCTAAACATTTCTTGATATTGCTTGACTTGTAAGAGGAAAGAGTGGTTTCTTTTTTCTGTTGAGTTAATGTCAGAATTAAAGCTGACCTTTAAGCTATTAGGTGAATGAAATATAGCATGCATTAATAGACAATTCTTCCTTATCATGGCACAAAATGAACTGGATTTATCTACACAGGCATATAGTGTAGGGTTCTGAAACATCTGAATATGTTCTGTAGTGTTTATTATTGTTAAGGCTGGAAGAAATGATGGGCCTGCTTGATCAATGTTGTATAACTACAGGCCCCCGTGCTCCCCCTATGAGACATTGACTGGGGAGTCTAGAGCACTGGTTCCCAGTCCTGGTCCTCATGACCCACACACCTGCTGGTTTTCATTCCATCTAGCCTTCATTAGATCATTACTTTTATCTAATTAGGCTTCATTAAAGCCTTACTTCATCTAAGAAGTTGCTTCAATTTAATATTTGTATTTTGTGTCTAGTCACTTGCAACAGTTAAAGCTCCAACACGTTTAAGAGCTGGGAACAAACAGTTCAAATTAATTTTATTATTATGTCAATGAGGGGTTTTATTCTGTAGGTGAGGTCTCGGCTGGAACAAAACCAACAGGTCTAATGTCATAATGTTTCCGTGTGTCAACGTGAAAGTTATTGTAATGTCATAATTGAATATCTTTTTTACAGCCCACATTAATCTATTATCACTAGCTCATTCACCACAGTTGCTAAAGTAATCATTGAGAGAAAATGCTTAATGGATTGCTTTTAGCTTGTTTAGTTTAAAATGGTTTAGATTGCTAATATTTCTTAAAATATAATTAAGATTCGCTGTTCTTTTAAGTGTTACCTTTCCTCTATAAATATCACTCTCCCGTATCTTCAGTTTTACCTAGAATAACACACAACTATGGTAGAATCCAGAGATGCTTTCTCTCTGTGGTTTCTGTAGAAAACTTTTTAAATTAGTCTTTTATCCCGACATTTCACTCTGCTGCTCAGGACACATCAAGTAACTGATCTGTAATGCAGTTTTTAGATCTAGTATCTAGTTTTTAAGTTAATGTTAAAACCACTTCATTTACTCTCACAAATACACCTTTATGTATTGCCTTTCATTATGTATTCACAAATTCATTTCATTACCTATTCACAATTCAGCACAAATAATAAATCATGTTTGTAATGATGCCAAAAAACAGCAATCCATTTCTGCTGTCACACAGCTTATACAGTCTTTAAGGAATTTGTCACAAATCTCTTTCTGATTGATGTAAAGGTTCAATCTATTTTCCCCCCAGTATAAAATATGTCCTAGCATGGCAGCACAAAGGTTTCATGACATAGCAATAGAGTGTTTTCAATATTGGAAAAATAATTAAATTAATAATTTACACTGTCAGTGTTTTTTGGGCTTCATTTCCTGTAAGTGTCAAGTTAGATTGCAATCACAGTGCCACTTACAGTGCATCACAAAAGTATTCATACCCTGTGGTGTCCCATTTGATAAAATTCCAGAATGATGCCTTCACCTTTGATCAACTTAATATCTTTATATTGCATAAGTATTGAGAGTATGACCTCTAATTTGGTGGAAACACATTTGACAGTAATTACAGCTGCAGATGTTTTTGGTTATGTCTCAACCAACTTTGCACACCAGCTTGGTACACTTTTTGCCTATTTCCTTGTCAGATTTGTTGAGAATCTCTCAAGTTGCCTGGGGCTTAGTTAGTTACTCACATAACTATTCATTTTTTTTCTACAGATTCCCAATAGGATTTAAGGCAGCTTTTTAATTGGGCCTCTCAAAGATTTTAGTTTTCTCATTGTTAATCCACTTGAATGTAGCTTTGGCCTCATGCTTTGGATCATTTTTTAACCGAATGTAGATAGAATTTTTGCCCCAGTCATAAGTCTTTATCTCACTAAAATAGGTTTTCCTCTAACACGTAATGTACTTTGCTCTGTCCATTTTTCCTTCAATCCAAATAAGGATTCCAGTGCCTGCTGAGCAGGGGCATCCCCATAGCATGATGCTGCCACCACCACTCTTGACTATAGGGATGGTGTTGACTGGAAGATGTACTTTGTTTCAATTAGATCTCATCTGACCACAACACCCTTTGCCACAGTTTTGCAGGATCACTCAGGTGCTTGGTTGTAAACTCTGCGAGGGATGCAAGATGATTTTCGGTCTGCCGTACAGGCAAGATCTGCAGAGTGACCAGGATATTGTTGACTGCTGCACATTTTCTCCCATCACAACCATTGCTCTCTCAAGCTCTTGATGAGTACACTGTGCTCATAGGGATATTCAGAGACTATGATATTTTTGTACTGTTCACCTGACCTGTGCTTTTCAATGACTTTATCTCGACTTGCTTTGAAAGCTTCTTAGGCTCGGTGTCTGGAATGTACTTGAAATTCACAGAGAAACCTCGCAGAGACAGGTGTTTTTATTCTCATGAGATCCAGTATTATTGTACACTCACAGAGGCTAATCAATTAGTTGTGTGGCTCGTTAGGATAATCTTGAATCTGAATTAATTTAGGTTTGCAGCAGCAAAGGATTTGAATGCCTATGCAATACTGTCTTTTACATTTTTCTTTCATATTTTCATATTTTTCTTTTAACACATTTTTCTTTTCAGAATCTGTATTTTGTTGTGCATATGTGGAGTAGGTTGTGTATATAACAAATATTAAGTGCTGGTTCAGACTGTCACATCTGCAAGCTTGAGTGCAACAAATGTAAAAACAAACAGGTAAAGGTTTATTCCATGTTGGAAGAGAAAAAAAAGAAACAGAGTTTTGGCTGTGGAGCCATCTTCTTTTGGTGTCTAATGCCTGAAAAAGGCTCCACAGCCAAAACTGTTTCTTTTTTTCTCTTTCAGCATGGATTAAACCTTTATCTGTTTCATTGCAGCCTGTTCATGTTGACACAGCTACCTGCTCGAAAATGTGAAAACTGTAAGAGTATGAGTACTTTTGTAAAACGTTATACGTATAAAGAAGAATGCAGTTTGCAGTAAATCAAAGTACTGAATTTATTAACGTGCATTATGTATTTATTGTAAAAGTTTTGGTAATTGTAAAGGAAGATATATATGGGGGGAAATTACAAGGTGTGCTAGAGAAAATACCATGTCAATAATAAGAATACCCCAAAATAAGAATATTGTAGGAAAGATGATTGAGAAAAATAATTGAAAGAAAAGAAGTATAGACCTAAAGGATTTAAAGGAAAAATGAAAATTATTCCAGATAAAAATGTTTTACGCTTTCTCTTATGTCACAAAATGAATTCCCATTCTGGGGAAAAAAAAAATAAGCTTTTGTTCTGCTTTATCCTCTTTGATGAAAGGACTTAAATGCTTGTAGCTTTGGGCTGGTGAAGTCCCTTATTAATGTTTTCTTACAAGTCCTTGGAAACGAAATTGGCTATGTAGTACTGTATAATTACATTTGAGACAGAAAGTGCTATAATATCCTCTTTAACTAAAACAATTCTTTATTTTGTAAACAAATTCACAGCATAAATACTGTAGATCTAATAATTTTTAAATATCAAATCAGTCTGCAGTTCTTTGCGGCCTTTGTTGCTTGGTGCCTTGGTGTTATTGAAGACTGTGTTTACATACCATTTCCTTTTTTTCTTGTTTACAGGGCAGCAAAATGGAGTGAGACATTGTTATACTGCATCTAGGAAAAATCTCTACATCAACAAGGACACAAAGGTCATTTGCCAGGGCTTTACTGGGAAGCAGGTTTGTATCTTTTCATTGCATATTTGTATTTTTTGTCAGGTGAGGAATGACAGGATTATTGTGGGCATCTTTGTGTACTATTGACAGACCATGAAATAAGCTAATTTAATATTTTGACTTGGCTGATTTTTAGCATATTACACTGTGTAAGCTCCAAAACTTTTTACTTTTAAAACTAGAATGTCTGATTCAGAAGTATAACATTCAGTTCAAAATTTTCTATACAATCACCGAATTATGTTAATTTGTTACTATTGTACAGTGTGTTGCACTATTTTTTCTCTATATTGTTTGATGGGTGTGATATACATGTTCATTGTTAATGTTAAAATTCTGTTCTAAAGCGCTTATTCGTAAGCATATGGTAAAATAAAAAAGTAAAACAAAAGCAACTTACAAAATGCTGTTTATAGTAACATTTTTTTCAACACTTTTTAAACAAACTATTACAGCACAAAAGTGAGTAAGTTCCTTCCGTGTTTTCTGGTGTACATAAAACTGTTTTCAGGTTTTTTAGGTGGGCCCTTGTGATAAGCTTTCATTGACGTATATGAGCCTGAGCCCAGGCCTTCTACAGTTTGAGGCTACCCTCACTTGTCCTCTCATATATAGACCACACATTACTTACACATTAAGTGACTTAGGGATGGAAAGTTGGTTTCTAAACAACAAAATGCCTGTTGGAGCACAGTCTAATCCCAAAACATGTGGCACTTCTTTGATAACTGTTAATCTAAACAAGATATTGGATCCTAGAGAAATAAGTTCTCTCTGGTAGATAATAAAGGAAATTAAAATGTCATTGTAAATTAAAAACAACCATTTGCTCCTAAATTTACTTCCCATGTGTTCTGTGATCAGTAATACCTCTTATATTCTAGTGCACAAAGAGCACAACAATGCTTGAGTCTTCAGGCAGGTGGAACTCGCACACAGTGTCTTCCTTCTTTGTGCAGCGGAGAATGCAAATTAACTGGCATTATTGTTAACCCTTTACTTCTACTGAAATCTCTAAACATTGCGTAGCCACTAAACAGGTGTACCCCCATTGTTTCTTGACCTTTATTGTATAAAATGTAAGAAAGAAATGTATACAATTTAACAAGCCATAGTGGTATGACTAGTATATTATGTACTGTACACATCTTTTATAGCAGTTACATAAGTGTTATGTTGTTTTTTTTATAATTGCAGTTTCTTCGTGACTTATACTTTCAGATATCTTTACATTCTTACATTTCCAATTAAATCTGAATATAAATATTGATAGAAGAAAACCACATGGCAAGGGGAATGAATGCCTAAATTGGGGTGATGTAATTAGTGGAGTACCACAGGGTTGTATTAATAATCTAGATTCTGGTTTTGTTTCAAAAGTAGTTAAGTTTGCATATGATACCAAAGGAGGACGATTAACATACATTGAAGCAGATGAATAAGATTGAGATAGAAATTCAACACCTAGAAAATTATATTTAATGTAGACAAGTGCAGAATATTACATTCAGGTAGAACAAAAACTATTTTACATTTTCTTTCACTCTGGGTGTGTATATTGTGAGTATTTGTATACTGTTAAAATAAAATAATACAGTTTGTTTGTTTTAGGTGAGTACTTCTTTTGCATAGCACAAAAACTACTAATTTCAGAGTTATCATAGAAAGCATGTACTGAATAAATCACAGGAAACTGCTGTCATGTTGTTAACTAAGTGAGTTACTATTTGCTATTTAGAGGCCATCAACAAATAACAATGAAACCATTTTTACAGAGTTAATATTACAGAACATGATCTAGTATACAGTTTTGAAGGGGTGCCTTTTATTTTTATTGTTTTGCATTATTAAAAAATAAAGTGGAATAAGCAATGAATCATCACTATATTATCAGTATTTGGTTAGCATACATCTACTTCATAACTAGAGATGCCAAGTGACTGTGAACTGTGAACTGCAAAAAAATTTCTTCTCTTTAAATGAAATCCCTTTAG